ACTTTTTATTCTACATGCAGTTCACAATTTATGTATCGGTTTTAATATCGTTATTTGTCAGTACTAAAATATTTTCAAATTGGTGCCTCATCCTACAGTATATTGTCCAATTTTCGGACAGTACCACTATTCGGACGCAATAATTTTATCGCAAATTTTTTTTATGAAGAATAGCACAAAAATAAAAATCAATACGTTCAGATGATTGCCCGATATGTCCTGAATCTTGCTCTATATTTTCGACGTTTTTGCTGTTGTTTTGTGCAAACATGAACACTTTGAATAAAGGTCAGTCGAAAATATTTTCTTAAAAATGGCGTAGTTTACGGCAGCGCGATCAGGCAAGTACACTTCAGGAGATTGTTTATGTGAAAATATACTGCCGAATCATTAATTTTTTAGCTGTGGGATGGTTATATAAACCGAAAATTTTACAACAACAGTAATTGTTGCTACTGAGTACTGTCATAAAATTTAAGAAGTTTCAGACTTTTAAATTATGAAACAGTTTTTAAGGTGCTTGTCAATATTCGGACGATGGCTTAGAGTTGACAATCTTATGACTAAAATCACGAGCTAGTATATTTAACAGAATTATATTTAAATGTTTAAAGAGTGTACAAGTTTTTATGTTTTGATAAAATTTCGATTTCGATCATTTTGTCGACTTTAGTTCAATGCGAGTTTGGATATTATTATGTGAATTTGTCCACCGGAGAATTGTATATCTTAAAGTGAGCTTTACTTGCGAGTAACCTGACTAAAATTTAATACTAGAATATGGTTTAAAGAATTATGACATTTATTTCTATATCATAATCAAGCCTTTTAAATTTCCATAGTATATTTAATAGATAATTACTGAGGCCAACGGCATTATTCGATATATTGCAGCCAGCTGAGGCCGAAGGCCGAAACTGGCTGCAATATATCGAATAATGTCGTTTGGCCGAAGTAGTTATCTATTATAATTACTGACGTTAGTCAAACCTATTGTTCCTTCTCTTTAGATAGTGGCATAAATTATTTCCTCTCAATTGGCTTTTGTTCTGGCTTTATAGCCCTTATTTGCAGTTTGGAGCTTATGTGCATACTTAGATGGCTCAGTTCATTAGATTTAATTTCTTTGTGTAGCCTTTTGTTTGATCTTACATGCTAGGTTGCGTCGCAATTTAGGCTTAGTTGTCTATTTTTCAAAGCTTTTTACTTGATGACATATTTGAAAAGAAATTTGCATATTTTAATACAGGCGACACAGCTACTTTTTTTCTCATGCGGGTGATTTAGGATAGCTAGTCGAACTGTTTAGAACAAACATGGATGATTCTTCAGATGATGAAAGTTTTTACATTACACAATCGTCGACTGGAGGGAGAAGCGCAACGACAGATATCGACGATGATTTGTTTGATACGACAACCCTGTTCGACGATGGACAATTGCAAAATGCAGTCACCGGTAAAAATACCGAAAAGACAGTGGCCGTGACGAGCTTTGATTTGTTTGAAGGTAGGTTACTGAATTTTACAAAGTATTTAGTTTTCCTGTTCAGTTCTAGCATACTAATCGAAGGTGATCGTTTTCGTCTAGATGGAGAGATTGATGGTGAATTGTTTGAAGCGGCAAGTCTTTTCGACAGTGAAAAAGCACGACATACAGAGACGAATAAAGAAATTCAAAATGCAGGGGCCGCTAAGAGATTTGAATCACTTCAAGGTAGGTTGGTGGGTTTTACTGTATTATTCATTTTACTGTTCTGTTCTAAGGTAACAAAAGTTCTTCATATTTTCGTGTAGGAAAAAGATTTCGAAAACCAATAACTTCTTCAAAGTGCGAAAGGTTCGGGCAAAGTTGGACATCCGAGGCTAGTCGAAAGAAGTGGCGTTGGGTATTGAGAACCTTCGAAGAATGGCGAGCCGCAAGAAATCATGCCGTGTCTTCTAACAATGAAAGCTATGACGACGAACCACTGGTCAACGCAAGTTTAGAGGAAATGTCTGACGAACAGTTGGACTTTTTCCTTGCACGTTTCGTCGCAGAAGTGAGAAAAACAGATGGCGCTGAATACCCTGGGAGAACTATATATGAAATGATAAGTAGTATTCAGGCTTATTTACGTGTTGAGTGTAAGCGTGATGTAACTTTAATTGACAAAACAGCTCGTGTATTTAGAAATTTAAACTCGGCTTTAAATTTTGTAATGAAAGAAAGAGCCGGGCAGGGTATTGGGGTGGACACATCGCAAGCTAAATTTATTACGGAAGAACAAGAAAATTATTTGTGGGAACATGGCTTTTTAGGTTCCACGAACGCAGCGTTGCTTAG